CTTCTTTCCTCTTCTTCTTCTTTCCTCTTCTTCCTCTTCTTCCTTCCTTCCTTCCTCTCCCTCTCGTTCCTCCTCCTCCTCCTCGGTGCCCCTGAAGGAGCAGCTCTGGGGGGAGCTGATAAGGCCCCGGGGCGGGGCTGAGAAATCGCCTGAAATTGGGGTGGGGAAACCGAAATGGGGGGGAAACAGAGGCTGGGGAGGGGGCAAGAGGAGGATGGGCTTGAAATGTGCGATATTTTAACGTAATTATGTAATATTTTATTGTAATTATGTAATAATAAATGACGCAATAATTTGATAATAAGTGACGCAATAATGTAATAATAAATGACGCAATAACGTAATAATAAGGGATGGAGGAAAGACTGGCTGGAGAAGGTGGGGAGGGAACAAGGGCCGAAATTGAAAGTTATATAAAAAATATGATGGAAGAAGGATAGAGATTAAAAAGTAAATTTAAAAAAAAATATGGAAGAAGGGTAGAGATTAAAAATTAAATTTAAAAAACGACGGGAGAAGGGCGGGGATGTGCTGAAAGTGTCGGAGTGAGGGGGAAAAATAAGGGATAAAAGGAAGGAAAAGGGAAAACGAGCTGTTTCTGCCCGGTTTCGAACCGGGGACCTTTCGCGTGTGAGGCGAACGTGATAACCACTACACTACAGAAACGCTGTGTCGCGCTTTCCGCCCCGCCGCGCTACGGCCGCTCGGGGCTCACCGGGATCCCGCGGCCGGCCCGAGGAGCTCGGCAAAATCGCAAAAAAATGAGAAAATTCGGGTAAAAAACCCGAAAACGGCGCCCGGCGCGGGACTCGAACCGGCGGCTCCGGGCCCGGAGCGCCCCGCGCTGAGCGGAGCTGGGCGGGGCCTGCGGGAATGCCCCGCCCACGGCCCCGCCCACGGCCCCGCCCCGCAGCGCTCCAGTCCTCCAAGAGCAACGAGTCGCGCGGGTAGAGAAACCCCGCAGGAAGTGGCGCGCCTGGCCCCGCCCCCCGTTGCTCGGTAACCGGAACCGCTTCCGGTCACGTGGAGCAGAAGGGGCGGTGCCCGCGCCGGAAGGCGGAAGTGCCGCGGCGTTTCCCGTCTGTGGCGGAGGCGCCGCCGGGCGAGCGCGGCCCCGGGGGATCCGGCGGCGACCGGGCGGGACCCGGCGGGCACCGAGCGGCTCCTCCCGCACCGGCCGCGGCCGTGAGGGCGCGGGGGGACACCGGCACGGGCGGCGCGGCGAGCGGCGAGGCCCGGTGAGGCCTAGAGGGGCCCAGCCCGGCGCGAAGGGCCCGGCCCGGGGTGGGCGGCGGGAGCCTTGAGGCCTCCGCCGGGGCCTGGCCGGACTTCGGGGGCTGTGCCGGGGCCCGGGGGCGCCGGAGCGAGACCCACGGCGGACAAGGGGAGCGGGGAGCCGGCAGAGCCCGGGGGCACCGCGGGCGGCTGAGCTGGGCCGGGAGCACCGCGGGGCCGGGCAGGAGGCGCGGAGGGCGCGGGAGCCGCCGAGGAGGAGGAGGAGGAGGAGGAGGAGGCGGAGGAGGAAGAAGCGCGGCGGTACCGGCGCCTCGGCCCCCGGCATGGCGGCCCCCGCGGCGCTGGGCGGCCCCGGCTCCCGGCCCGACCCGGTGGAGACGCTGCAGGAGGAGGCGATCTGCGCCATCTGCCTCGACTACTTCGCCGACCCCGTGTCCATCGGCTGCGGCCACAACTTCTGCCGCGGCTGCATCTCCCGGCTCTGGGCCCGCGGCGGCCCCGAGCCCCCCCCGGGCGGCTCCGAGGGCGGCTCCGAGCTGGAGGAGGAGGAGGAGGACGAGGACGAGCTGGAGGAAGACGAGCTGGACGTGGAGGAGCAGGAGGACGAGGAGGACGAGGCCGGCGTGGACGAGGAGGAAGACGACGACATGTGGGAGGAAGAGGAGGAGGAGGAGGAGGAGGAGGAGGAGGAGGAAGCCGAGCTCTGGGAAGACCCCGCGGAGGACGAGGAGGAGGAGGAGGAGGAGGAAGAAGGAGCCGCGGCCTGGGCGGGGGGCGCGCAGGGGGGGCTTTTCTTCGGCGACGAGGACTATGACGAGGACGTGATGGAGGAGGACGTGGAGGAGGAGGAGGAGGAAGAGGAAGCCGAGGACGAAGAGGAGGACGAGGAGGAGGACGAGGAGGAGCAGCCGCCGCCGCCTCCGCCGCCTCCTCCGCGGCGCCCCGCGGTTTTCACGTGCCCCCAGTGCCGCAAGACCTTCCTGCAGCGCAGCTTCCGCCCCAACCTGCAGCTCGCCAACATGGTGCAGATCATCCGGCAGCTGCACCCGCGGCCGCAGCGCCCCGCGGGGCCCGGGCCCGGCCCCGCCGCCGCCGCCGCCCCCGGGGGCCCCCCCGAGCTCTGCGAGAAGCACCAGGAGCCGCTGAAGCTTTTCTGCGAGGTGGACGAGGCGGCGATCTGCGTGGTGTGCCGGGAGGCCCGCGGGCACAAACACCACAGCGTGGTGCCCCTGGACGAGGTGGTGCAGGACTGCAAGGTGGGCGC